AAAAAAAAAAACTTTTTTATCTTTCGAAAATTTACTGATAAAAACGTAATTTATTACCTGCGGCGCAGAAAAAAAATTGCTTACAAGTAAAATCACTGTTAGAAACTCATTCTAAAGAAAATGCTTTTTCAAGAAGCTGTATGTCTGTATTTTTTGGCCTTGAAATAAATACTACGCATAAAAGTTTCAGTGAAAATTGTTGGTGTCTGCTTTAGTTAAGATGGAAACTACTGCTCTTTCAAAATTTATATTAGCGCCTATTAATTCAATTTTAAATATAAAACAATATACCAATTTTGATCAAATTACGTATATTAAAATGATTTTTTCTGCTTGAAAAGTTATTGCTTTGCGCTTACTGTGACATTTGAATAACGACAGTCATAAATTCCTAAAAAAGTAAATATTTCAAGCATATATTAATTCGTTGATAATTTAGTTAATTCAATTTTCTTATTTATCGTTAAAGACAGAATTTTCTAAGTTTTTTTCATGATATTTTGTTACAATAAAAAAAAATACGAAAAGACAATCAAGAAAAAAAATTTTTCTTTACTGTATATTTTGACTTTAACTGCTTAAATAAAGCTTTTTTCATTCTTGTATTAATATTTTTCGACTCATTTTTGCTTGAATTATTGTTAACTTTCTAAAGTTTAGGTGAAAAGCTGCCGATCTGCATACTGTGGAGGTACGTTGTGTAGAATGAGCTTAGACAGTAATGGTACCCTTAAAAGTAACATTGATTATTGCATATGTTTGTGCAGTAATATGCACACTTGCTAATGAAATCAGATTTTATTAAATAAAGTGAGAATGAAAGTTCTGATAGCTCACATTTGCGAAGGAAAGGTTGAAAGAGAAGTATTATGAGAACTAAAGTGCTGTTTTTTTAGATTTCTGATGGTAAGCTTACAGAGTGCGGTGATATATTTTGTTAACAACAACTCGCTTCTCAACTTTTACAACATTCCTTGAATCCATTTTTCTCAACTGCATAAGCTTGCAGATATTCCAGAGCATTTGTCACACATTTGTTCAGTCTGGTAATTGAGATCTTATAATCTATGTGACGCATTAAACCATTGAATTTGACACTCAGGAAGCAAGCCATTGAGATGTTGAAATACACGAACAATCGGCTTGGAACCGGAAAAATCTGTAAGATGATCATGATTTTAAAAGAGCTTTTTTTTTCTCAGTTTTTGCTTAAATAAATTGTTGTTTTCACAAGGATGACAAGATATATTTGTTTAGAAATTAACGACGCTACTGTTTTACTCTGAACTGATTTTTTTTTACCACTGCAGTACAGTGTTGTTTTCTATCCAGATTTGAAAGATAAACTGATAGCTAGATTCCCAACATTGTTCCAACTTTTGACAGAAGCTTACTGTATGTCCTCACTTTTTTGTTTTACAAAACTGGGAATTATAAATATTGTTAAAGTTTCTTAATATTTTTCTGGAAAATAACCTACTGAAATGAATTATTTTCGAAATTATTTTTACTTTAGAAACAGAAATGTTAGTTTTGCAAAAAAAA